AAAAAAAAAAAAAAAAAAAAAAAAAAACACACAAAAGTTGAAGTTTTTTTTCTTTTTCTTTTCTTTTTTTTTATATTTCATTTCAGTTAGTCTAGTGATTTATCAAAGTTCAGCAACATTTATTTTTTTTAAGAAATCTTAACAACCCTTGTTTGATTTTTTAAAAATCAGTTATGCTTCCAAACCGTAAAAATGTTGTCGACCGCATTGAAGCAGTAGCGGATATATATATATATATATATATATATATATATATATATATATATATATATATATATATATATATATATATATATATATGTATGTATATATAGTATTTTGAAAAAGTAAATATCCAAAAAATCACAAATCCATGTAAGTGCCCAAAGACCCAGGAATGGCGACAAAGTTTTCAGTGAATATGATCGATTTGTGATTTCATTTGGGATATATACTTTTTTTTAAATATGATCAATTTTCAAAATGATAAGATTTTGAATTAAATGATTAAATTTAAATGCAAAAGAAATTATGTGATACACAACTATGAACATTTGTGCGTGCGTGCAGATTCGTTACCACCCAGGACGTGCAATGAGGCACGGTTCTGGGTTTTTTTTCTGTCGGTAAAATTGAAGTTGATTTTAATGATCGAAAATTTATTCAACCAGATATTGCAGTTTAAATTATTTTCTATAATATGAGGTGGACAACAAAGTATAAATTGCATTTCCTTTGATAAAATGTCCTGGCGATTCAGAAACGTGACCATAGACAATAAAACGTTTTAAGGGCCCCTCTCTGCGGCGACCTATAGGAATTATTGTGTCCATCCGTCCATCTGTCCGTCCGAGATCTCTTTTAAAGAGTGTGCATTGACCTTGAACTATGAACTATGTTTCAAGGTCTAAGGTTAAGGTCATAGCAGAATTGTATATGAAAAATCGTCCGGAGCACATCTTTTCTCCCCTTGGTCCAGTCTGGTTCATACTTCCACAGAGTGTCTGTGGTCAAAGGATGTGCAGTGACCTTGAATAATATTTTTCACTTGCTTAATCTTGTTCAGAACCAAAAATAAATGGCTTTTGGTAAGGGGTAATGAGACTGAAATAAAAGTTTTACATGTATGCCAACTGGACAATTTCTAAGTTATAGGTCAAGGTCAAAGCAAAATTCTCTGAAATGCTTTTCATCCTATTGTCCATTATTTGAGTGGGGCCCTATGTGATGGTAGACATCTCAATGATTCATGAATTCAGTGAAGTTCTACATGAAACAGTTTAAGAATAAAAGGTATGAAGTGCAGTTAACTAATTTAATATTTTAAACAATAAAAATGGTAATATAAAATGTGACCAAAATCGTAACAATGTCCTTTTTAATGTCAAGTAGGTATGTTCTGAATGAGGGAGAATAGATCTAGAGCTTTTATTATTCACAGGTGCATTATTTATGACAGCTTCATTAAAAAGGAACAATTCTTTTTAAATTTTTTCCTTGAGTTAAAAGTTTGACCTAGTTATCTAAAAGAAAAAATGCTGACCAAATGCATTCTTTATTCCATAGGAAAATACGCTTTTGTACTCTTACTTCAACACTCAACAGTACTCATGACAATTTTTTGAATTCATTATGATTTTTGACCTTGACGGTTAAAGCAGATTTCAAAAAAAGAATTACTAATATTATGTACTATTAATAGATATACTTTACTAGAAATACACATTTGCATTTAAATACACAAAACCTCGCAAAGATACAATTTCTCATTCCTTTATCAAACAATATTCGGAACATAAAGAAAAATGTACCTCCTTAAAACAACAAGAGTCAAGTAAATGTATGTAGATACATGTAATTTATAAGCGATCTACATAGTCTGTTATTCGGATAAAGAGTTCTGTTGCTTCTTCTACAGTGTTTGGTGGGTAATTCAAACCGTTTTCCATTCTTATTTGAGTACCAATAACTTCAAATTCCATTGAAACACCATTCGCAGGAGGGTAGGCACAATATTCTTGTTCTATGCCATTCAGATTATCAGGTACAGGCATTTTGAAATCTCTTGTTTGGTAAATTTCGGGATGAAAATACATAACATCTGGTTTTCCAGACGGACAATCTGCATTGCGGTTTCTTCTAATTGTGTGTTCATTCCAATGCTGTATAACTCTGTTCAATTATCTGGTGATAATTGGTAAGAAACAATACCTAGCACACTCCAGATGGACTATGTCGGAGGTGTCAAAAACACCTAAATTATCCATATTCTTAAAGTAATTTATCCAAAAATTGCCACACATTTCTCGTAAACACCGCCAAAATCGCTCTATTCTTGTATTTCTATATGACGATCCATACCTAAAACTTGATAGTCCTTGCAAGGGATCCTGGTGATTCCATCGCAAAGCGTATTGCAAATCTCGAACTATGGAGTTCTCAGTACCCCTGTCTGCGTATACGACTACAGGAACCCCGTTTATTTCTTTGATATAATCTATATAAAATCTGGATATATACTCAGGGCTTTTGTTAGAATTGCAAGCTCTGAGCCAGAGAATACGTCTTGAAAAGCCATCTACACAGCCATGAATGGAAATTCCGAATGGTTTTAACTTGTCCCAGCCATCTAGATGAACACAAAAATTAGGCCCTTCGTTAATGTACCTTCTACGCTGAGGACGACGTTGTCTACGCCTTATTACACCTTCTGCGTCCAAAACAGTTAATGCAAGGCGCACCAATTCACAAGACACATTGAGGTTATGGTCGATTAGCAGACGTCTCCTCATTCCTCTATAGCCTATGTCACCGCCCGAGCCTGAAAGTTCATGTAGAATAGCCGTTACAATGTCCTCCAAACGTGGCTGGTTGTTTCGTCTCGTCAGATTCATTTCCCTTAAAACTCGATGAATTTGTCTTGCACTAAGAGTAATGTTATGTTTGCTCGCAAGAAATCCAATGATATCCTGAATAGTATAACCAGAGTGGTAATAAACAGCAATCATTTCATTCCTACTGAGAGATAGTCCGTCCACAACCAAACGTTGAGCCAGAGCAGGTGTATAGATATTTTCACTCATAGTATTTTTGTCGCTGAAAAAAATGGGAAAAAATACTTTATACACAATGAATTTCTGTTTTGCTTTCTACATGTGTAAATGTACATCAAACTAAATCATTCTATAAATACACCACGATTTGGCATGAAAGAGTTTATTATATAAAAAATGTGCAATTCAATTAAACTTATGTAAGATAGCACTGCGGATTTAGAGGGGGCAGGGGGCCCGGGCTCCCCCTTTTGTGTCCGAAATATACAGAAGATTTAATAAATCAATTTTTTTGGCGTGATCGTGGGCCCCTACCCCGACCACAAACTGGTCGGGGCCCCCTTTTCAAGATTCCTGGATCCGCCACTGAAGATAGTGAAGTACTAAAAGTACTATGTTTGATCAAATAATAGCTACATGAAGTACACATATTATTTAAGAATTGCACACTCTGACCAAAAGAGATATTGACACCAAGAACTATTCTCAGTAAGGATTATACAAAAGACCAGATTAATCAACCAAAAGATCTTCATTACATCCAATATTAGTTTTATATCAGATCTAAAACAAAGTTTTACCTTGTCAGTTGTGTAGAGACCAGATGAACGTTCAGAGGTTAAGCTTTTCATTCACTGCAACCACAGATTTTGATTAAACTATACCCTCTTTCAAACAAACAGCATGCCATCATAAATAAGTTGCATGTCGACATAAATATGTTGCATGTTTACATAAATAAGTTGCATGTCAACACATTCATCTTGCATGTCACCATAAATAAGTTGCATGTCAACATATTTATCTCGCATGTCGACATAACTAAGTTGCATGTCAGCATGAATAAGTCGCATGTCAACATAAATAAGTTGCATGTCGACATAAATATGTTGCATGTCAACATATTTATCTTGCATGTTTACATAAATAAGTTGCATGTTAACATAAATAAGTTGCATCTAGCATGTTGGATGTCACATGTGGGCGATATTTGAGATTTTTGAAGATTTTTTATAATTTTTATTTGATTGCAATTTTCTTGCATGTCAACATATTTATATTGCATGTTGACATAACTATCTTGCATGTCAACATATTTATCTTGCATGTCGACATATTTGATAGAAAAATAACTTGCACACAAGGGGCAGAAATATGCCACCATAGAACTGCTTTACTTTTTCAGCAGTTCATTAATTTATAAATGAATGTGGGAGAATTGATTAATATTTCTATATATGTATGCCATTTGTCAATATTATTTACTAAGTAATTGTTATTATCACAGGCACTTGTTTCATATTTGGGGTCACCCTCTTTTTTCTTTCCACAAGGTACCTATGTACTCAATTTCAGGCACCCCCCGCTTCAAGCTCGTATTTTGTTAATATATCACTCTGACATTAACCTACTTTAAAATGACATTCGCTTCGAAGGACTTTTTTCTTTTCAAATAAATCGTTTCAGACGTCCCTGGTCGCGCCTCTTCATTACAAACCACTCATTTAATTTATTCCTAGAAAATTACCTCGATTCATATTAACAGGCATGTAGCAACGGGGGGGGGGGGGGGGGGGGCTGGCACCCACTTTTCTTCCAAAGACTTTTTTTACTATTTGAAATGTTAATTGAAAGGGGCCACAGTCGGCAATCAAAGTTTTACATAACAATATATAGGGAAAAAATCGAACAAGAACAGCAAAACCATGACTTATGATATTTTAAAAATATGAAAGCATCCTCCGGTAGTGTAGATTCAAATCGTTCATGGCTCCTTGGGTTAAGGTGAGGCTATCATAGGAAATCAAAGTTTTACATGATAATATATATGGGGGAAAATCTGTTGATGAAGAACAGCAGGGCCAAAGTAATTCAGGTGAGCGTTGTGACCAATGGGGCTTCTTGTTTTTTTTTTTTCAATTTGGCTAAATTTGATTGAACTATAAATTGTAGAAATTGCATTACAAAATGGCGACTCAGCAGCCGTGGCAGCCTATACAGATGCAGCCCAGACAGGGTGAGTTCAAGCTTTATTAGTGTGTCTTATACCCCATCACACATTACTTTTGGTGCACACAAATGCTGTCACGATTTTATGATTTTTTGTCTTGTCGAGGGTAGATAAAGCTAGCCCATTTAATTTTTTTTAAAAATGTCATTACAGGAGTGGAATGGATGAATCCACAGTCCGCCGCAGGTGGACCCCCGGGAATGGATTATTTGGCAGCTTTGGACCAGATCATTGTGAAACAACGGATAGAATTACTAGAGAGTAGGTATATATAGAAAACTTGCGCAAGTGAAGAAATATGGTTGGATGAATAAATCATTTCTTTGGTCAAATTTTTTGGTCAGACGTATCACACATGTACATTTCTGTTCATGCGAGGAACCTGTTTTTTTTTTTTTTGGGTGGGGGGACAAAGTATTGATATACAGTTTACATTTATCGAAAAAAGGAGCGGACATAGAAAATTCGATGGGTAAAGTATAGTAACTTATTCCTTCGGATGAAAATAAGTCCCAAAGTCCACCCTTTTCTTTGTCCGACTTTCCTCCTTGTAAACTATTTAGAACACAAAGTAAGAATTGCCTTCGCCCCACCAAACTCTAGATTGAACATTCAAATTAAGTAACTAGGTTTTTTGATAAACAGAAATATTAACGCAATTAAAAAACATTGGCTATATAAGTTTCAATTATGAATATTAATTACCGGTACATGTAAATACACATCTCTCTCTTTCTTCTTGAGAAATATTAGGAGGGTGTGACTGCTAGTGCATGTTTATGAATGATAAATAATTTGATAGAAAGTTTTAAAAGGGACATTCCTAGATGTTACGTAAAATGATGATATTTTAATATCAAGCAAAGCACAAATATGTTTCAACAGATGCATGCTTCATTTAGCATCTTTCCATGCACAAAGGTGGGACTAAAGAGAAAAAGGTGCTGCTACTTAGCCTTTCAAAGATACGAAACGGGTTCCAATCAATGATATATTGCTGGTATAAAAACAAGTATATACACTATAAATATGAACTGCTTTCTTTACAGTAATAACTGGCTTTGAGACGAGGAATAAGTATGACGTCATGAACAGTGTGGGCCAGCAGTGCTACTTTGCTCAGGAAGGTCAGGAACATGTACGACTATCAATCTGTTTAACGGCCATGAACAAGTTTTATTTCGCTACAAATACTTCTTGCAAATTTTAGTATATGTACATTTTATTTCTTTATATATTATTATATAACTTTGCATGTTTAACATTTTATTTACAACTTTAACAGTATTGGAATTTAGTACTAGCTGGAGAGTCATTACACCGCAATCCAATGACACACCGTAAATCACTTCTTATTCCGCGTGAATTTTATTTTTGCGTAAATTACTATAGGCTTTCTGCTTGTGAAAATTTTATTTTCGCATATTTTTGTATTATTAAAGAAACCAAATATGTGAAAATTTTGTTTTGCTTTTAAATACAAAATCACTATCTTTCGAAAATAAGCTGTCACGGAAATTGTGTGATCTTCAGTAGTTATGACTCAAAGTAACCTTTGCTTTGATCTTTGATTTTTTTTTTTAAATTTAAATTTAAATTTTTGTTATTTTACATCAACAGAGTCCGATTTTTGTGGTAGACAATGTTGTGGACCAAACAGGGAATACGTGATGCACGTTACAGATAACAATGGTCAGGTGAGATGTTGGAATTTCTGGTCGAACTATGCATAATAATTATATAAGATGCTTTAAATCTCCGCAGACCAGTGGGCGTCCATACTCACTGCATAAACCATTTCCGGTAGGTTTCATTAACATACAATTTTATATATAACTATATACAAGGCTTTAGACTTAGTCCTGACAATAAAAATAACGTTGCAGATGTTTAGAAGTACTACTTTGCCAGGTCGCTCGCGTAGCGCAGTGGTTAGAACGTCTGCTCTAGAGTTGCGGAGTAAGGCGCTGATCCTTACCTCGCGGGTTCGAACCAACTGCGGGACGTGAAGAGCGGTCCTTCGGATGAGACCGTATAAACCGAGGTCCCGTGTCGCAGTAGGTGTTGGCACGAAAAAGATCCATCACTGCTAAATGGCCCTGAGTGCCGAGTATAGGTATAAATTTGCAGCCCTCCACCGGCAAGTGACTCAAATGTCTCCATATGAGTGAAAAATTCTCGAGAGGACATTAAACAACATGAAAACAAACAAACAAACTATTTTGCCAGATTAAAAAAACCCCGAAAATTCAGTTGTTTTGAGTATCAAAATAGGGAGTCTTTTAAACGAAATTCACCTACTGTTTTCTTTCTGTCGCGAAGGATCGTGAATGCTGGTCATCACAAAATATTTTTTTAAAGGACGAGGAGGGGTCGTACCAAAAATTATATCGAGAATATGGAAACTCCCACAGATGAATTTCATGCAGTAAAACGTTGTTATGTTGTTCTGATACTTTAAGGAGGTGATGAGAGTCCGCCATGACTTTGTCTGCTGCGTTGGATGTTGCTGGTGTGCAACCGACTCTTCCTGTGGTTATGAAGTCCAGATCGAGGCTCCGGTTGGAAATATAATCGGCTACGCCAAACAGCAGTGAGTTCATTTTTATATACGGTTGCAAATCTCTTTCTTACGAAAGCCGGATAGGCTCATTTTTGACAAAATAAAAAAATAATTAACTCGTTATAACGAGATAGTTATCTCGTTATAACGAGTTAGTATCTCGTTATAACGAGTTAGTTATCTCGTTATAACGAGTTAGTATCTCGTTATAACAAGATAATAATCGCGTTATAACGAGTTAGTATCTCGTTATAACGAGTTAGTTATCTCGTTATAACGAGTTAGTATAACGAGATAATTATCTCGTTATAACGAGATAATTATCTCGTTATAACGAGTTAGTTATGTCGTTATAACGAGACAGTTTTCTTGTTATTTTTAGACTTAATGGCAATATAGGAATAAAAATGGCTGCAGTTTTAAATGCCATTGAATTTTTAGCAAGTAATTATCAGTCAAATTTAACTTGAACAATTGATAAATGGTTGAAAATTTAATTTGCTCTGGGGTTTACTTATGATTAAATCTTGAACTATCTCGCTGTCAATAATCATAGCAACTCTAAGGCGAACACATTTACACATTTTCGTGAACTCCTCCTCAAATTGTTGCATTAGGACGCGATATTTTTCTTAAAATAATATTGCCAAACATACTTGCTTCAAACTTTGGCAATTTATTTATGACAACTATTTCTGATGAATGACACTATTTCGATATGTTTTGGACGACTTACACACTTTCATATATCAATTTCTATACCGCTAAAATTAAATATCAGAGACAATATAAGTGCAACATATCGTTTATGCAACATATAATATATAGATTACAGTGTTATACATATGTTACTTCTGAGATTCAGAAATGTTTTGAAGAAGGGGGATGGTGAGACATCAGCAGTTAGATCATAGGCGTAGTAATAGAGGGGCTAATGTCTACACCACCACTTTTGAAAAGGGGGCGGTCAAGAGTATCTTTGTGCCCCTTCCTCCATATTTTTTTTACCTGAGTAAATATCTCCCGAAAATAATGGCGAATACTCGTAGTTGGAATATCAAATCTATTTTTTTTTCTTTTTACTTGTCAAATATTTTACTTGGTTTACCCCCCCCCCCCTTTGAACTTTGTGACTTAGCTTATGCATATTGTCCACGATAATGAGGAATGGTGAAGCAAAAATGATATTACATCCTTTTAAGTAATAAGACGTTAAATCTGATCTGCTGATATTGACATTTTACCTAATATTCTGTCATGATTCACTGTTTATATTTTTGCGGGGGGGGGGGGGTCCAAGTTGTGGAGATTCACGGAGACCTATTTGAGATTCACGTCTATTTGGCGGATCCTATATGTTTACCACATAGTGTCAGAACGTCAAACCAGAGTTTACAAAACAAAAAAAAAGTTTACAGAGTTTACAAAGCCAGTTCACTTTTATAATCTTTTTACTTAGGATTGAATGAATATAATGAATATAATATTCAACGAATAGACCTAATACTACATATGTACAATTATATTATTAATACAACATTGAAGCAATGTCGTTAATTATTTTCCTCATCACAATATTTATTATGTATACTTTACAAGCATATGATTTTTATTTCAAAAAGAGATTGATGATTTTTTTTTGGGGGGGGGGTAATAAATAGAGGATATTCAATGTTTTATAGTTGATATGGAATTTATTTCACGAGTGGGACAGGAATTTTTTTTATATTTTCATGAGTGCGAAGCACGAGTGAAAATATCAAAAATCCTGTCTCAACATACAATACACATTTCTTGGCAAAATTTATGCTTGAAATACACCTTAAGTAATGCTTATCATATTGTAAACTTTAGATATTAAACTTTCATTCTATACCCAAAAAGGATCACATGTCAACTGTTTTTACTAATGCTGACCTTCACCTTTTATTGTGGCTTCCGTAGAATAAAGAGCTCCAAAATTTTTTTTAATTCTACCACATTGATAATCACGCAAAAATTACATATTGTAATTTAAGATTCCATGCCAAATTGGTAAATTAAAATGTTTCTTTCTTTTAATAAACAGAAGAAATATATAAATTATTAAGTGATAAGTACAGAATTAGTTCTTGATATTCATCATATTTATTATTAAGGGGAAGGGGGATTGATGATAAAAACAACGTGAATTTAGTTTTTTGTCAGACATTGAATTTTGATCTTGCTCCTTTAAGACGATAAAATTAACTGGTATTCCTTGTTAACAGACAAGGAATTATCAAAATATGATCGTTAAAGCCTAACAAATAAATTTCATATCCACATGATTTATTCGGAATATTTAAAATAATGGGATTATTTCTATGCATTTTTTATTGCGACAAATATTACGCAAACATTATTATAATTTTAACAAATTCAAGAAAGCTTGAACAGGGCAGTTAAATCAGCCAGAGTATATCATTTTTTTCTGATCTCCTTGTACAAGTTGACAAAATTTTGATGTTATATACATTCCATTTGAAGATGACACTAATTCTATTTTGCAATTTTAAGGTATAACACAACAACATGAGGCGGTCACAAGTTTCCGTATATTTGTCTTCGGTCTTTCCAATAAACAATACTAATCAAAGGCATAACACAAAAAAACTAGTATGCTGTTCCATAAAATTTTTATCACGCACACTTCAAACAAATTTGATCGACTTGCTTCTGTATATTTCCGATAAATAATGGTCTATTCTTTACTTAGATATATCAATTCTAGATCAATTTTTATCTCGTTATAACGAGTTACTAACTTGTTATAACGAGATAACTAACTCGTTATAACGAGATACTAACTCGTTATAACGAGATACTAACTCGTTATAACGAGATAACTAACTCGTTATAACGAGATAACTAACTCGTTATAACGAGATACTAACTCGTTATAACGAGATAACTAACTCGTTATAACGAGATAATTATCTCGTTATAACGAGATAACTAACTCGTTATAACGAGATAATTATCTCATTATAACGAGATAACTAACTCGTTATAACGAGATATTAACTTGTTATAACGAGATACTAACTCGTTATAACGAGATAATTATCTCGTTATAACGAGTTAAATATTTTTTTTGTCTTGTCAAAAATGAGCCTATCCGGCTTTCGTACTTTCTCACATCTAATGCGGGTAAGAAATAAAAGTTTTTTTTCTGGTTATGATTTGCAGAACTTCAAAATGGAAACCCCATATCCGAATTTTTGACGCAAACCGGCAACCAATGTACGTCATTCGTGGACCGTGCTGCTGGGGATGCCAGAATATATGTTGCACAGATGACATTGACTTTCCTGTAAGTTATCTGAGAAATAATATTCGAAATGTAGAGGAGATATTATTTATCAGGTAAGCCATTTGACAACCTTTTTATACAATACACAATTTTTATTCTTCATACTGTATAGATTACGGACTTAACGGAGCAAAATATTTTGGGCCGGATGTTTAAGCGCTGGGCCGGATGTGGACGTGAAATGTTCACTGATGCCGACACATTCGGAGTCACATGTATGTATTCGAAACTAAATGTGGTGAATGAATCTGATAACTAGTATAATAAAATATTGTTTATTATCTTAAATATACTGAGTTTATACTCTTTGTTTAATTATATAAAAATTATTTAAAATACCAAATACACAACGTATTATGTACATTATGCACTTTTTGTGTAGTTATCGATGTTGGTCAACAAACGCTTACAGCTCTTTATTCCACCTAAATACTAATATTTGGATTTAGTTTTTTGTCCGACATCGATCTTTTGATCTCGGCCCTAACTTACATTTGTTTGTGAGTCATCGATCTGAGTGAAGATCATTTTAAATAGAATTGGAACTTATTTTCCCTACTAGCCCATTGCAATAAGAATTGCTTAGACAAAGTTTCATTTGGGGGCTGGGGTGGAGTGGGTTAGGAGTTATTGATTCTAGTTGTTATATAATGTATAATTATAAAGTGAGCGTGATCCTATCCGAATAGACAAAATTGCGAATGCACCACTTGTTATTCTCGTTTGTTTATAAATGTTTTAACGTTGCCTAATCGGCACTAGTATATTGTCTAATATGCCATCTTTCCCAATAAGTGGCATTGACAAAGATTTTGGTGTCATGACAAGCCCCTTAAATGACCTTCTTGTCCGAAAATCAACTTCCCGACGTGCACTGTGCACCGTTTTTCCCCAGATATGAAGTTATAGTGATTGCCGATGGTGGTCAGTGAGGTTGCAGTGAAGCATTTTTCCACTTAAAAATCGATTAATATTTACATTTCCAATGTCTTTCTCCGAGATAAAATTACAAATTGTAAAAATACTTTATTTCTACATAAATCTACTGGTTCATCGATAGGCGCGGTTAAAAAAAAATCACGTGCGGGGCGGGACAAATAGAGACAGAAGCGGGGCTATTAGCACGGGAATTTGCAGAATCAGGAGCATGTAAATATAAGGAATAACGGTCAGATTTTTTGGATTCATGACTATGATCAATCGATTGGCTTGCGTGATAATTTTATGCATAAACGCCTTCGGCGTTTATGCAAATTATCACGCAAGCCACTCGATTGATCACATCATGAATCCAAAAAATAAGACAGTTATTGCAGCCCGGAGGACCGGGCTGCTCTATACATATAAATTTAAGTGTTGGTATATGGGGATTGAGGTGGGAGAAGTTATTCAGAATTAAAGGTTTTCTAAACATTAAAAAGATTGTTAATCAGAATGTTCTTTCCCTTTATAAATTACGAGATACGCAATATATTTACTTCCATAAAGTGAATCTGTAAAAATATATATGTTTTTCATATTTAATATATAAAGTTGCTTATCATTTACTATCGAAAAAACGACAGGTCCCTTTTTTTAGAACATCGAATTTTACTTATCGCATAAAAACGTAAAAATGTACTTTACACAGTTCGTGTTTTATATTCTTAAAGTGAAAGATATTTTTGAAAATAGGTGATGCATGTGTCTGGTTTCAGATTATATTTTATGCAGCCAACATTTACTTGAGGAATTGATAAAGTTTAAAAGGGTATCGTTTTTGTTCGATTTTCATCCGACTATAAGTTTTCAAAATATTCTCGACTATCGTCTCCATTATTTAGACGCATGCCTTTTTCACACATATCGAAGCGGTTTGATGATAAAGACTCATTTCCATTGTTTACTTTATTTATTTCCCGGGCGACAATTGATGGTTACATCAATGTTTTCTTGTTCCTTAAATATACAGTGTACTGCGATTGACTTTATTATATCGCCAGTAGTCAACCCAACGCAGCCCACCCAACTTCCGGTCTCCCCAATTTTGTAGAACAATCTTAATTGTCGTGTGGTGAATCACAGGCACTTGATTCGGTAATGAATTTGTTAACCCATAGTATAATATATGTAATTATTATACTATGGGTTTAATTTTTTTTTATCGAATCAAGTGCCTGTGTGGTGAATACTTAATGCCATGGCTATCTATAGAAAACATTTTTATGTTTGTTAGTCTATTTGCTCTATTTGCAACATTATTTTTTACTAAATGAAAGAATAATCTTTCAATTGTTTAAATTTTTTACAAAAATTAAAGGAACACCCTGCAGAACCATACTAACTGCTTTTGCACGTACGCTCTTCTAGGTTTAAAAGCTGCATGTATACGGTATAATTTTCTTCTGAGTTTTTAATAAGTACAAACACAAAGAACATAAAGAGAAGAAAATAAATTTCCTCCAAAAAGTATGAGCATTATTTTCGTTTTTTTTTTTTTTCATTAAATGGTTACGCTTCAGTTAACATTGTACTTATTTATTAGCTGCAGATCTGTAGCTCGCTGGTCTGAATAAATTGGGATCCATGGAATACCAGAGAGCTATAGTGCCACCCATTGAAATAGGTGTACGTGTATATTATTGCACATAAAAAGTTCTCTGCTTCTCAAATTATGCGTCGCCGGTAAAACTCTGTTTGCGATCGTTAATGTGAAGATAGTTACTCCTTAAGTTAAGACATTAAATCAGTTTTGAAAAGTAAAATATTAATTTTCCTTGGTGGTGCGTAAGCACTTTTGTCTAGTGTACATGTACAACCCTGATAGATGGAATCATTTCCTCTTTATTGAGAGTTTTTCTTTTCATTTATAGTTCCAATGGACATGGCTGTTTCAAGCAAAGCTTTGCTTTTTGGCGCCATTTTCCTCGTGGTAAGATAAATTATCTCATATGATAAGAATACAATACATACAAATGAATGTATTTACCTGTAAAAAGACTGAATATTTATATATTTCTATTGAAATCTTTTTTTAGGACTTCGTATACTTTGAGAAACAACAAAATAATAATGGTGGTGGATATTGAGGTCAAAGTGCATTTGGACGGTTTTAGCGAAAAGATAGAAACTGTGTCGGAGGCGGTGTTACGATTTTCTTGTCTAATCAAATACGTGCTTATAGATGCCGGGAATTTTAACCCGATGATCTTGAGTGTGCATGGATTGAATTAGATCTTAATCATAAACTTGTCAAGAAAAAAACTTTGTAAACGTGAATGAAAATAAATTTATTACAATGTATTGTTTTTTATCAATATCATTAGGTTTGAAATGGTCTTGATTCAAATGCACGCCAGAGTCTTTACAGAATGGTAGATAACAGGTGTTGTTCCCGTTCTTGAACATCAAAAATACTATTTTTCTTATTAGTGTTTAGTATTCTTCGATGTGGGATTGATCAAAGTTTGTAAACGAGAGATAATTCTTTCATAGTCTTGAGTGACCCGATTAATAATAAAAGCAGATAATTTTGCCCAGACGTTCATAATCATTTTCCAGTTTATGAATTATACCATTCAGGAATTACAAATGACAAAATTGTCGGAGAAAGGGATGGATTCTCCTGCTGTACAGAGTCCATTCACCATGATTTACGACTTCTGTGATTTTATCTAAGTAACTTGGTACAAATTCGCTATTATATTATATTGTTATTAAGAGTCCATGTTCCAGCGGAATAAATGCTGTTGATTTTATGGTCCAAGACCAAAGTCAGAAAGAAGATGGGCGTATTTGGCAGGCCCGTAGGAAGCAAATTGAGTTTGGGGGGCACAACCATACATTTTCACTTGACAGGGGCATATTAAAAATTTCCTGACAAGCAAAAAAAAAAAAAAAAAAAAAAAAAAAACCAAGATGTGTTTGTGAAACACTGATGCCCCCGTATGGCAGCTTATGGCGAAGATTAAAGTTCTTGAATGCAAGTCAAACTCCATGTCAAGAAAATGAGAAATCAAAAATGTTGGTACCCAAAGAAAGGTCTTGTCTCGAGGAAATACCTGTGAAATATGAAAGTCCTAGTACAAACCGTTGAAAAGTTATGGCGAAGGTTAAAGTTTTTTTCAAAATAAGTAAAACGGCACGGTCAAGGTCAAATGGTGCCCTAGGGGAGTTCTTATCACAAGTGATACACATGATCGTAAAAAACTGTCTGCCCGTGAAATCTGAAAGCCCTAGAACCAAACGTTCAAATGTTATGGCCAATGTTAAAAAATTTTAAAAGTAGGTCAAACGTCAAAGTCAATGACGAAATTGTTGATATCCAAAGGAAGGTCTTGTCACAAGGAATATACATGTGAAGTATGAAAGCTCTAACACCAACTGTTCAAAAGTTATGGCCAAGGTTTAAGTTTTTCAAAGGTAGGTCAAACTTCAAGGTCAAGGTCAAAGGGTCAGAGTTGTTGGTATCAAAAGGAAGGTCTTGTCACAAGGAATGCATATGTGAAATATCAAAGCCCTTACACTAACTGTTCAAAAGTTATGACCAAGGTTAAAGTTTTCCAAAAGTAGGTCAAACTCCACGGTCAAGGTCATAGGGTCAAAGTTGTTGGTATTTAAAGGAAAGTCTTCTTACAAGGAAATTCAATGCATACTTGAAGTATGAAAACCGTAGCACTAATTGTTCAAAAGTTATGGCCAAGGTTAAAATTTTTCAAAATTAAAGTAGGTCAAACTCCAAGGTCAAGGTCAAAAGGTCAAAGTTGTTGGTATGCAAAGAAAGGTCTTGCCACAAGGAGTGCATATGCGAAGTATGAAAGACCTGGCTCAAAATGTTCAAAAGTTATGGCCAATTTTAAAGTCTCATAAATTTTGCAAAAGTGGGTCAAACTTCAAGGTCAAGGTCAAATTTGATGGTATCCAAAGAAAGGTCTTGTCACAAGGAATAGACATATGAAATATGAAAGCCATAGCTTCAACCAATCAAAAGTTATGGGCAACGTTAAAGTTTTTGCGGGCAAACAGACAGACAGACAGACAGACGGACGGATAGGGCAAAAACTATATGCCCCCGAATCTTCGATTACGGGGCATAAAAAAAAGTCATCAACTACCAAAATGACTTCCAAAAGGTCTTTGATAAGCAAAAAAAAAAAGGCATCAGACGTTTTTATTGAGGGGCACAACCATTTTCATCATCGCTACACACAAAATATGGATTTAAAACGACAATGAAGCACCGCGTTAATTTATACATTTTTTTTTTTTTTGGAAAAGGTTTATTTTTTATGGTATTTGAGTCTTCTCTCCATTTTTTACAAATGTTTGCTCGTTTCCATGAATTAAAATACACAGATATACCGTTTCAAAATCATGAAAAGATGACCCAGAGAAAGCAAATTTTAGGGGTGGGGTGGGGGGGCGTGTTTAAAATTTTAATATTTTGTACCAAATGACTTATTTAGCCAATTTTCAAGTTATTTATTTATTAATTTATTTTAGCAAATCAAAACACAATATCGACAAAATATTTCCCTTTCCCATTTCATAGGAACCATACATTAAAAGAATCATGTGAAAGATCAATGAAATTTTCAAGTGCGTCCAGATTCCTGCCGAATGCCAATCAAATGCGCCCTCGTTCTTTATATATTGCCTACTTAGTTTTCATCACGAATTTCTTTATTTTAAGGAGGGCCCCTATTGACTTTAAGGCCTAAAGCTAAAAGGTCAATGTCGACCTCTTTTCTTTTCCCATCTGCACATTTTTATCAGGTCTTCCAAGCTCTTCTTCTTTTCCAAAGGCCCCTTTCAAACCAGACTGCGCTCCCACAGAGTTGGCACGGCGTTGTTACATTTCGTTGCATGCCGTGGATTATCAGAAAAATTCAATGAAATTTTCAAAAGATTAAGATGTCACAGCGTGCTGACGGCGACTAATGCATTTCTATGGAGCTTCCGTGGAATACTACTATGTTCCTACGGGTCGCCCGCGTGGCGCAGTGGTTAAAGCGTCTGATCTAGAGTCGCGAAGTAAGGAGTTGATCCTTACGTCGCGGGTTCGAATCCCATTGTGGGACGTGGAGACCGGTCCTTCGGATGAGACTGTATAAACCGAGGTCCCGTGTCGCAGTAGGTGCTGGCACGAAAAAGATCCCTCACTGCTCAATGGCCGTAAGTGCCGAGTATAGGACAAAATTTGCAGCTCTCCACCGGCAAGTGGTGGCGTCTCCATATGAGTGAAAAATTCTCGAGAGGGACGTAAAACAACAAACAAACAAACAAAAACCTATGTTCCTACGGAGTTCTAACTGACGATTGACTGCACTCCCGCTGAGTGCTCATGACGTGCTAGGAGTAGTCTCTTCGCGGTCATGGCGTACACAATGCGTGGACTGCGTCACTTAAGCGCGCTAACGGAGTTCTGGCGTTGCTGGAATTCTTATCGCGCTGTTGAAGACCTTACCGCGCTGTTACGGTGACCTTACGGCGTCTCTACTGCGTGTATATCAGAACGCAGAGCCGCGGCACGTACTTCGTGCATGCTCAAAGTGCGTGTCATCGTATGGCGTTCTAGGCGACCCAACCGCGTCACTAGAGGGTCCCACCGAGTTCTTGCGGCGCTGTAGGAGACTCTGCATGTATACTGCGTGTGTTCAGCTTTTTTCATGGACGCCGCGGGATCGCCGTAAGAACGCAGCCCTGTGGTGTGACGGGTGCAGTGTGTCCCAATGAATGGGATATACTAGTAAACATACACAACATATGTATACAGACGTTTCCAGCTCAAAGCGTCAAATAAAATTAGGTAATTTTTATTCATCTTTTTTTTTTTTAGCGTATGGTTGATAATTTTTCTCGACAGAGAAGAGTACTTGGCACATTAATGTATTTTTTCTTCTTTCCTCAAGTTATGTTGACTGATTATTTTTTTTTTTTTTTGAATTACAGTACACCCTGCGGAAGTGGCGTAATAAAATGTATGATAGGCTGAAAAATGTAAAGATTCAGAAAGTTTAGATCGTATAGAACATATTTTACTCAGTTTTTTAAGACAAAAATCATTGAAACAATAAAATGCTTTGTTTGTTAATAAAATATTAACTGTTAACAGTTGCAAGTGAGGAAATTAAAAAAAATAATAAAACAAAATAAAAACAGACATAACCCGCGCAATACTTTTAGTTTTTAGGGGAATGGTTGCAACCGTTAATTATTCGCCATACCAAAAAAGAAAAAAAACTTATATATTGTTTCTATTTTATATCTGTATTTATAGTTTTTGTTAAAAAGGTAAGCTTTTCATAGTGAACTCATTCAACTTCTTTTTTTAACATTCGGAACTTATACATTACTACAACATATATGCTGACAAACACTTATGATCATGCGCAATACGAAAATGAAAACTCAAACACTGGGCACATCACGTAGATAACTTTTATTCACTACATTTGTGATAAAAAGAACATAGGAGTTTTTTCTCCAACATCACAACAACTTGTTTGACTTTAATTAGTCACATAACAACCAACAGTGTACCTAGGTACATGCACCAAAGCTGTTGCAGCTTAATGAAAAAAAAAATCAGTTTTTAGACTGACAGTAAAATAAAAATAAATCCATATCTGTGGATACTTTTGTACTATTTAGCACAAAACAGAAATACCAAAAATAATGCTGAGACATGTATTACTGATGAATGAAAATGTCATTCTGAAAAATTAAAGAGTACATACTAACAGATGCTGATGATGCACACAAAATAATACTGAAAATATGGCACATATAAAGTTGATATACACTGTACTTTCAGTTTTAAATGATCCTCCATTCTGTCATTATCACTGACTTCAGTGAATGATGAGTGGTATATAAGAAAAACTCTAACAATACATATTCACAAATAATAATAAATTGAATAGTTCTGTGTACATATTGTATACCCCTATCAGTGAGATAATATAGTGGGAAAGCAATGTCTTACCAGCGTATAAACAGTGCTGCACAGATATAAAGATGAATAATAAGGAAAAACTTATTATAATTAAGGGGTATCATATAAAGGCAAAAGGAAGACTGTGCATTAATGGTATGGAAATAAAATACACATGCACAACTCTTACTATCAACTTCTGTCAATACATTGTTAAAACTTGGAATTACATATGGAATATATTTTATTCCATATATCAAACAATATTTTCATTCATAAAGTCATGCAGAATTGCACTAAAATTAAATAAAATATCAGCTGCGCATGGAATGGTTTATAATGAAACTATAAAGTGGATCACAGTAAAACATTCCATTTTGTTAATGAATGTTTATTATTCTACATAATGGGTATATGGAAAATTGCATAGAAAAGATTTTATGGACGGAAAGAGGATTCATACGCATTCAGCTTAAACACGCATTCTTTGTACATGTACATTCATAAATTTAAGCAAAAGAATTCTGAAAGATGTTATTTTACTACATACTAAAAAATTTGCTTTCCTCTAAATGGAATTAAGTTGCTAACAAAAAATGATTACACAATGTCATTATGTGACAATGCACAACATAATGGTCAAAAGCACCAAATAACATTAGCATATGCTAGCCCTCCCAAAATTTTTTTTAGTAACCAAGCAATCGTTATTCTGAACTCACTAAGCAATAAATAATTTGTGATTTGAATAAGTAATTACAAACATGATTATTATAAGCAGTAATACAGCTATCTATTGTATATTTATTAATTTCACTTTATTTCAGTTTCAAACTAAAAACATTTCAGATTTTACCTTAAATTATTTTTAAGAAACACTTCATCACTTCAGAAAACAAGAAGCCCAAATGCTCTGACAAACACAAAAGTAACATGAGCAGTGTTCTTCTCTTTGATGTTACATACAAGATTCTTAGTTTGTTCTGTGACCAACATATCATTTAAACAAAATATATTTCCTGTGTTCGACCCTGACCTTGTTAAAATGGGCTTCTTTGACAATTAACCTCATCTTCATGTCAAGAGAAATTCTTTTTGTCACAGATGAGCTTCAAATACGTCTTTGTTAAAGTGTACATGTACTAGTTTTAAATCCAGGCATTGTTTATTATAATTAAGCACATAGTGTGCCCCCAGACAGTGAGAAAATTTTGACATTTGATAAAATATGACAGCCCCAACCCTCAGTCTCCAAAGGGGCACACACTATGAAATTCACAATTTGTTCCCAATTTCCTGTATGAATGTTCCATGTTATTTCAAAACAATCAACAAGACAAAAATTAACAGCAATAGTCACCAGAATGACCCAGGTAACATTTAAAGAACTTTATCAAGGAAATAACCAAAAAGGATTAAGAACTTAAATTATGGATTAGTGACGTCTAGAATAATATCTGATTCATAACTGAATGGGCAAAAATATTCAAGCCAATTAATTGTCATAAAACCATTTCTCATTTACACTAAAACAGCTGAACACATGCATAAAAAATCATTCCAAAGAAAGTCCTTAACATGTAAACTAGAGGCACTATCTCAGAAAAATATACTGCCCACCTTTCAATTTTTTTTTCAAAGTGTAGCATCCCATGGTTTTTTTCTTACAAAGTTATGAACCAGACTTGGATTATACACTTTTTCTGTCAATGATTATGAACTTGTCCATATGACCTTCATTCAAGGTTCCAACACAACCTTTACTCATTAAAAATTTCTGTGCCAAGAATGACCTTCAAGTATTTCTCTATTAAAATTAAGACATGGTCAGCACAGGGAAAAGATACACTTTTCTGAGCGACCTTGAACTTGACCAAATGATCTTGGGTCAAGGTCATGACACACCCTCAGGATAGAAGTAATTTTTGTTTAAAGTATGAACTTCTAATGTTTCTTCATATTAAGAAAGTTATGAAATGGACACAGACATTTTACTATATCTGCCAGTGACCTTGAATCAATGTCATGACACACCTCAAAACAATCTTTGTGTCATGTATGAGCTTCCAATGTTTCTCATTTAAAAAAATCAAGGCATGGACATGATTGCAAGAGCAGACAGATGGACAAGGTGATTCCTATACTTAGTATATCCCCAAATTTTTTTTGTGGAGGGGGAGTATAATAAAGTGTGTCAATAATTCAAGGAAAAGCTTAATAAAACAATTTTCTATATGCAAGCTGTACTAAAGTTTGTTGTAAGGTTTTTGTTTTATACTTTAAGCTGCACTGAAATTTCTATCTGTAACTTGTCATGCAAATCTCTTCTTAAAAAAAATATCACTTTTTACCCAAAATAAAAATTCTGAAGATCCAACAGTGATAAAATACATGTTTAAATAAAATGTCTCCAACAAATTGAGCATCTTTGTCAAGTTCTCGCACTCTCTTTGCATTCAGCAGTTCTGTTGTCTTTTAACTGACATTGGCCAGGCTATAATTGCAGCATTCCGTTTATAAGCAAACACTGGCTGTCTTCCATGTGAGTTGTTCTCAGATTTTATCACCTGGGGAATATTCATGTCACCAAGACGAGTTTCTGTAAAACCAAAATCAATCTTAATCAAAAACAAAAAAAAGAATCTCTAGTGTATAAATAAAATGTGCATGTAAACTAATGTATGAATAATAAATATGAACTGGAAATGTTGGGGTTTGCAAAGAAAACAACCTTTTGTCAACTTTTCAAATTGATCAAACAGAAGAAATGAGTAATAAGGACTAGTTTATTAAGAAAATGGAAGTGAAAGGATAGATTTTTGGTTCAGTTAACCCAAATGGTGCCTTTCTATTGGACAATATATTTATTTTCATGCATCTTAATGACTTTTATGGAATGGGTCATTGACTTAGCGACATTTTGATAGCTGATTTTGCAACAACAATGTACATAACACTTGAGCACATTATCACAATTCAAGTACATGAGTACCGGTATATTTTAATAATTAATTAATTCTAGGGATGGCAATTAGTAACCAGTTAATTGGTTACTCAGTCGGAACAACGGTAATCAGTTGAAAAATCTGCAAATGGTTAGAAGAGAAAAAAATTAAAATATGGTGTAAATTGGATCCCAGTTTCCTTAAAATTCAAAAAACAACAAAAATAAAAACAAAAGGCACATGGGCCACAATGCTCACCTGAGTAACTTTGGCCCTGCTGTTTTTCACTAGATTTTCCCCTTGTAAAAAGTATTGTTGCCCCACCCTATTCCCTGTCTGATATGTCTGATATCTCATGGTTTAAAAAATTTTCATGCCTTATACTGAACATGTCGAAATTGAAATAAAATATATATAATGTTGTGATCAAACATAAACAAAATATTACTATGGTTTTTTTTACTGTCCTTGCATATGAATAGAGCTTATTTGAGAAATAGAAAGTATGCAATTTGATACGATTATCCAGGAAATCAGTCGGAATGTCTTACAGTTAACATATTGGTAATTCTGTATTCAATTGCCATCCCTAATTTCTCTGTAAAACTGCATGTCCAGCGTGTGCTGATTTATACACACCTTCTCCCTGGACCAGTAGATAGAGGCCATAGTCCTGAGGGTTTGTGATCCTGAACTTGTGGGCAATCATGGAACCTATTAGAACATAAAATAGGAATTTTCTTTTAAATAAAATCAAAAGCACAAAATCCAGTAGAATATTTTTAATGTCCATGAACTTTGAGAATAATGTCTACTGCTTGGTCTTTATTGATTTTAACTTACAGACATCCTTTGTATTCATGTTTGGTCTGACAGGAAGTGTTTTCCAGATGATAGTATCCCTTAACTCATCAGGAATGGCTACTTTCAAAAAACCCTCCATATCACCAAGAGCTGGGACCTCCACCTGAAATTATTGGAAACAATGTTTCATGCATACAATAAAACCAGAATTAAAAAATCATAATAATAGCAACAAGTATTTGTCGAACTGATATAAAGTAATTGACAATAACATCAAAAAGCATGTAATTAACACTGAGTTTCAGCTAAATCTGAAATGGTCTGAGAGATTTGTAATGAAAAGTCAACAATTTGACATGTAAAATACACATATTTATTATTACATGTATTATGGATATCACATTCCACATCTTAAGTTTTATCTATATAGTCTATAATAGTCTACCTGCTGAGAATCAGTTGGTGCTCCCTGCATGTTTTGAAAGTTTTTGAGGGCTAGTACAGCACTGCTAAGGGAAGTTAGATAATATCCCCCCTCTCCATTGAGCAGGGAGGGATGAATTAGCCCCCACATATAGTCTGCTTCTATTTCTGCAGCCACTATCCCACAGTGCACCAGTACAAAGATCAACATTGGTAGGAAATCTACAAAGATGTAGCACAACTTGTTTACAGGTAAACATTGGTATCTTGACATCAGAGGGACTATCAAAAAATGCTAACTACATACATGAATTCAATAGTCAGTAATTTGTCTTAATATCAGCAATTCCTCTCTTTGTTTATCACAAAATCTAAGAAGTAAATTAAAATATATCTTATTGATAAAATGTGTTCTTTATCCAATCAAGAGTTTTCCAAATTTACTGAATGTTTTCTATCTGGCATTATGTGCGCAACATTTGCTTTCTGTCAGAACAGGACACGAAATATGCTGTTTAAACTTTGAACCGTACAAAGTCTAAACCATCTTCGCTTATAAGCCAAGTGTCCGATTCATTTAAGCTCATCCCCCAGATGAGGGTAAACGAATCAGACACTTGGCTATCGAAGATAAGTCTTAATTAACCCAAGAGACAAAAAAAAAAATTGATATTTTTCCTTACTTTTTTTTTAAGAAAGAAGAAAAAAAAAACAAAACTAAACAAAATTCCAAAACATTTTTGTACTTGAATTAATATACAGTTGTTGACTTGGGTTGAGGGCAACAGTTGATCTGTCGGACCGGTGTGCAAACTGTTGCCTGCGGCCTTCGGCCTTGGGCAACAGTTTGCGCACCGGTCCAACAGATCAACTGTTGCCCGAGACCCCTGTCAACAACTGTTTTGTTATACCCATATAATAAAAACTTAAAATCATTCTTTTATACAGGATTAAATGAATTCTTTGCACGATTTATCTCGAAGAAGAGGTAGCGATAAGTCCAGAGTCACCAGACATTCGCTGAGAATATTTTCAGCCGTTTTCACAACATTTTTCGTATTTTTACTGTCCCTACTTTCAAGTATCACTTGGATTTCATCTTCGTTCGCCACAGCAAAACGAACATCGGCCATTTCTGTTTATCTTAACGACAGGTTTAAATTACTCGGCACTCCTCGACTGATTACATTTAACTCACGGTTACCCGAATCAGCCGAGGTTTGCCGAATGAGGTATTGATAACTCAATTTAGCACCATTTGACGTCAGCGGGCAACAGTCTTTTTTTAACACTCTATTTTAACAGTTCCTGGACCGACAGTCGGGGAAACAGTCGAACTGTTTGACTTTTTTAAGTAAGAAATTATATAGGGACTGTTTAGTAGGGGTATAACAATGAAGTGTTGTTAGATTGAAATGATCAACGGCTGTTTCAATTAATTGTGTTGTTGACTGGATTATTACTGTTATGCATTTTAACTACAAAATATCTCATATACAAGATACATAGAGTCCTCCCTCCATGACAAGTGACAGCTGACATTAGGTTTAGTAGAGCAAAAAATTATCCTGATGTTGACACAAGGTAAATTCTGCTCTTGGGACTGTGAATGTGTGTGGAGATAGGTGGGAAGTTGACATTACCATGGTCGATATATCTGAGTTTTAGCAAATCATTCATATAATAAATACTGCAGGGACCGCAAATGGATGTCAAGATATCCTAGGTTGTTGACATATCTGATGTCGAGACACCAAAGTTAACCTGTATTTTTGTAACTTTTTTGTGGTAGAAACTTTGGTTTCTTCATACTTATATTTATCCTACATTTACTGTTTAATATTTAAATCATGTTATCAGGATTACAACTATATGTTATTTAGTGTTAGAAAAAATGATAATGGTATTTTCATTAAACCAGAGTAATGTGTGAATAAAGAAAGGATCAATTGTTTGATAACAGAAGATGATATGATAGGACATTAAATTGTAATTACCATCAGCTCCTATTGTCACAACTCCCTCTTTTCTGCTGACATTTTGAGTCATCTGAAAAAATAATTTAAAAAACTAAGGAACTAGTTTCATTCAAAATTATTTCTTTACTGTATATAAAAAACCATATTTCTCTTGATATGTGTGTTATAGTTTTATCTCCGCTAGGCCTTTGATGTCTCACGTTTACCCTGCTTTAAAGCAGCTCTCTTTTTTTTGTCTCCTTTGTTTGTTCTAAGTTGCACTTCAAGATCTACATGTCTGATTACGTGTAAAGTACAACTTTTGCTTCCTTATAAGCAAGATTCTTTATATCCATATATGGGGAATGATAATTCACAGTTTCCTTGTGAGTTCTTTATTATTGTTTTACTGTACTGGCAATACTGACTGCTCCCATAGGAGTTGGTTGCTCTACCTGTCTATGGTTGCTTTGATAGCTGGTTTATGTGCTTTACATTTGTTTTTATATGAGTTTGTTTTTCTATTAGTGATTGTTGCTTTTCTTTACTCTGCTGTGTTGTTGCTAAGCTATGTGTTTGTTGTGCCATGCAAACAGCACTGGAAGACTAAGAATTTGAATATTCTGAAACTGATTGCAGCCACAGCATCCTCTTCAAGAAGAAATGCCTAAAGTGATAACTTACACATTTGTAGATAGTAGATGTTGCTGCCAGCAGATGCTCCATTTTCTTTAGAGGAGAATAAGCTTTCTGCATACTATGTAGATGGCTCTTTATGGTATCCATGGTAGCAGAATCTGGTAGAGGAATATCAGGCTACAAAGAAGAAATCAATAGTATTGACTTGGTTTCCTTAATCATTAATAGTTTCCTTTATTGTCAAGTAGAGGAACAATTCAACAACTTATTATTAATTATTAACAATACCTTTTACAATCTGCCCCTTTCCCCAAACCTAGACAAAATGCTATGTCAATTACTTAAATTTCCTTCAACTTGCTGGTTTTGGGAGGTGGAGATAATAATTTGTAAATATAGCTGAACTTCAATATCTTGAACGCCAATATCTAAAATACTATGGATATGTTGAAGTGATATAGAAGTCTAAACTACTTATTCTCCAAGTATTTTACCCTCGATATCTTGAATCCTTGGATATCTTGAAGTTTTTTTTCTCAGTCCCATCAAGTTTGAGATAATGAGGTTTGACTGTATGTATCTTACAACATAAACTTCATTTCCCTGATAGATAGAGTGTTTCTTTCATTGACCAGAACTTGCCTAAGAATCTAAGCACTTACCCTTATCCCTATGTCCTTGGCTGACTTCGTTCTGGCATATCTAATATTGCTGGAAAGCTTCTGTAAACTACCATTTCTGAATGAAGACATGTACAAAAATGATCAAAAGAGTGACACCTGTAAGATAAACAGTGACATGACCACATCAGTATATCTTTCTAAGGATTCTATAATTCAGATCATAACTTTGTGAAAACAATATTATTTGCTTCATGAGGCTAATTATTTTTATTGTAATTCAGTAAATAATCTTACATGGTTATAAAGTGACACTGTTTCAAGGTACATTGTACATTTATACATCATTAAATGAACCTTTAACTCTCCCCATGTCATTTTTGAGTAATTAAATTAAATGAAGGTTCAAAATATCCACAGATAATATTTTCTACTAAAGCAGGTTCCCTGATTAAACCCTGACCTTGTGTACTCTGTGACAAAGAGGTCATAGATGTGGAGTTTTAGTGGATGGAGAACACAGATGTGGAGTGACCGCTCGATGATGTTGTCAATGTTGAGGATCTCATTTTGTCTCAGTCGAGCTCGTTCATGCTCAATTAGGTCTTCCAGCTCACCTTCCCCATGCTTGACTAGATAATTTCTTATTCCAGTCATAAACTGACGAACCTGAAATAAAACTACAGTGTTTCAAGGAATGCATGTGTTTCCTGCTATAGCATCATTGAAGATATAAATAATTCTGTAAGTGATCAGTTACTTGTTTGCATAAGTAATAAAACTCATGTTTTGCCTGCAAATAACAAAATATCGTGAATATTAAGACTGCAATTGAATAGTATTTATAAATATACTCATTAAATTAAAATTCTAATTAATTTTCCAATGAATATGAGACAAAGCAAATATATTTCCCACTGGTGGATTTAGAGGGGGAACCAAGCCCCCCTTTTGTGTCCGAAAATACACATAGGATTAATAAATCAGTTTTTCTTGGTGTGGGATACTGCATTAATTATACCTAAAATATAGCTAAAATACTGGTAAGTAAAAAAAAACACTGTTCAAAAAAAATCCTAAAACCTTAGAGCATTTGAGGGCTTCACCCCCTGGACCCCCACCTCCACCCCCCAACTGGTCGGGGCCTCCCCTTTTTCAAGAATCCCTGATCCACCACAGTTTCTTACTTAACGTAGGTCGCGGGTTTGCTGACGTCCTTAAAACTGGGTACGCAATTTATATGATTTGGCCGACTTTCTTGTGCACATTTGATTATGACGTCACAATGTGTAAGAAATTTTAAACTACTGAAGTTATCACAAATAGAAAAACTTTTTAAATGTTGGAAAATCGAAAGCGTTTATTTATCATCACATTGAGACCACAACAGTGTCACGAAAAGATATGGAACAACTGAACAAGTATTAACTGCATGGTTATTTTTCTTCCTTCGACATATTTGAATAAAAAGTTTGTTACACTGAAAAACTGTCATTATATAAACAACCACAGTTACAGCTGTTACAACAAAAGTTTAAACTTTATTTTTAAAAAGGAAATTTTTGAAATACATGTATATCTATATCACAATTTAAAAACTGCTCAGGTTCTATGAGGCTTAAAGCATAAAAACGACGAGAGATCTTCTATAAGTAACAGCTTACAATACTGTTCATGCGGGGATCTAGAAGGGGGATTGGGTCATTTAAAGTATATACTGAAGCAAATAAAAAATTACTTTGGACTCACCTAGAAAACGTGAACCCCACCACCATCACCATGAAATAGGTAATTTTTTTTTTATGTTTGGGAATGGACTTTACGAGGTTTTTTTCTTTGCTTGTCAAGAAATTTTCTGGGTTTGATTCGTTTGGGAAAGGAGTTTACGTTTTTGTTTTTGTTTTGTTTTGTTTGTTTGTTTGTTTCGTTTTGATTGGAATTTTTTTTTTTGACTGGGGTGACCCCCCCCCCCTCCACTGGAAAAAATTCCTGGATCCGTGCCTGCTGTTAGCTTGAGATTTTATCTAATTTGCTTATCTGGTCGAGCAAGTTGCGCTATAAATTGAAAAGTCGCTAAACAAACAAACAAAAAAACAAAAAAAAAAAAAAAAAAAAAACAAAACAAAACAAACAAACAACAAAACTAAAAAAGAACAAAAAAAAACAAACAAACAAACTAACAAACAAAAAAAAAAAAACTGAGTAGTTATTGTTAGCCTGTTGCTACGGGCCTGAGCTTGTTTATATCTGTTGGGTTGTCCCCCCCCCCCCCCCACACACTGAAAATTGCATCCTTTGTTCCTGTGTATCTTAATATCTTTTAAAAAACGCTCATCAAAGGCTTAATTCTTTAGATTAGTATAACACCATGTTTTGCAAATGCTTCGACAATATCGAACAGCATCGAGAATGAAAAATCGGACGTTCAAAAAAATGTACAAAGTTCGGTGAAAAATTGTGATCTTTTCAGACAAAACACGAGTAGTTCTTGGTATTTTTTAAAATTATTATTTACCAACAAAATGGGATTAATTTGGAAAAAACGCTGACGACATGTGGTAATACGACAGCGACATCATGTTAAAGTAGCAGTCGTATGCTGCGTGTGTATTCATACAAGCATTACCAATGTGAAAATTCCGTATACAAAGAAGGGTTTTGTATAGCTATTTAAAGAATAAGAAATATAATTCGTATTAAATACAACAAATCTACCCATATAGGAACTAACCCCCCCCCCCCCCCCCAAAAAAAAACTTTTTTCTAATTAATCTAATTAAATTCTCTAATTAATATTACCTCCCCCATTCTTGTAAGAAAAAAGTCTCTGAATGAATTTACGCTAGGAGCACTGTACCTGCAAGCCCGACCCAAGCCTTCTCTCTCTCTTTAGTTACAGCTTATAAAAATTGAAACCTGTAAACTGTTTCAGACAAGATACATTGTTACCTAACTCATACATCTGTACTTATTTTACATTAAATGTATATAGACATAAATTTCTTTCTTATTTTTATTATATTATTTTGTTTTTCTGCATTTTATACTGGACCGTATTCACGACGTCAAGCGTGACATCGCGATAGTTTATAGCGTCAATCTTAAAAATGTTACGTTTTGCAAAGTAAAGGTAATAATTCACATATAAATTAAGAGAAAACTAACTCGAAGACATATTAATTTTTTTTACATAGATTTATTGGAAATCTTCTCTGTGTGAAATGACCAAAAGAGGAACAATTTCGTCTGCACCATTTAAAAATTACTGAGATTTTTTTAGACGATATCTTGCCTGAAAACGAGTCAAAAATGACGTTTTTCCTATAGAATTCAATAGAATAGCGTCGAAAATGTTACGACAACGATGGCATGTTTGGGATTTAATAACACAAAAACGATGCAGACGAATCTTATAAAATTTTCAGAGAATGTACAACAAAAGTAGGAGATTCAAATAACTAATTTTCATAATATGTTTTCGAGCAATTTTTAAAGGTCACCAACCCCGCGACCTACGTTAAGGGTATACTCAAAGTAGAGGTATATTTTTACTTTTAAGATTTAGAGGGACAAAATAGCTGGATACGCATAACTATGTCATGTGGGTGTTTCTATGATTCTTACATTTCTGGTGACATGGTGTGGATTTGTTTCCTGACTTTCCAGTGTACACTGTATAAAGTTCTCTATGGTACAACCAAATGTTGTCTTCTTGTCTTTAGAAAGTCTGTAAAATAACATCACAAAGCTGACATCAAGCAGATTTTTACTGAAGTTTCCTTGCATGCATACTACATGGTTTCTTAAAAAATATAACAAAGCAAGACCAAAACTTAAAGATTTCTGCCTTTATTAAATGGCATTTGGATTGCTCATAAATTTTGAATATATTTTTTTAAAGTAAATGAAAACAAACCTGCAAATGTAATCAATAATTTTGGATTCTGGTGTACTTTGCTTACAATCTCTATTTTCATCTGTAATCAAAAGTAAAATTACTTTTTTAGTCTATGTTAGCTATGATGAAAGAAGAAATATATTTCATTTTTTCTATTCATATACAGAACTAATACTTTAAGCACAACTGTTGCCTTTTATAGCATGGTATACAATAATTCATCCTATCTATCCAGCTATATAGAGTCTCATTGCATCAAGTTCATTTTCTCAGTATGTAGCATATTAAGTCAAACCTCATTATCTTGAACTTCATGGCACCAAGAATAAACTCCCAGATATCCGAGGATTTGTGATATACATGTAGAAGTTAAAATAGATAAAGAAAAAGAGATTGGGATTTCAAAATCACTTTGACATATATCCATGGTATTTGCTATATCAGTGTTGGAGTATATATATATATACTGTAAAATCACCTTTTTTTGTGGGGTCAAATTTTCGTGGTTAGAGGAAAAATCACTGTTTTGAGGGGATTTAATTTTGTGGTTAAAGGAGAAACACTATACTGCAGTATGACATTTTAACATTTCATGGAGAATATGAATTTGTGGGTCTCTTCATACCATGAAAAAAAAATTAAAATTAAATCCCCATGAAAATTAGTAGGGATGTCAAAATATTTATTTTCTTTAGTCAAATATTCGATTGCATTATTCGAACGATAGTCGAATATATTCGAAACTTTTTCGGAAACTAAAATTTTATTTCAAACTTCACTGGTACATGACATATTTAACCCCAAATCCTCTTTTCTTAAATTTATTAAAAAGTAATATCAAATGTTACACAAATGTTTTCTCCAAAATGTATGATTTCTTCGGTAATCATGTTCATAAATCGGTCTGTAAAGTCGTTTTTTTTTTTCAAGGAAGCATAAAAGAATGACAGTACGATATATTTCATTAAGGCTTATTTAAATGATGGGGGGGGGGGGGGGGGGGGGGCACACACGGTGTCTTTGATAATGTTAAATATTTGAATATACTTTTTGTACCAACTATCAGAATGTCTTTGAATCATGTAAAAGAATATTAATTTTATAATAATTATCGTAGTGTCCAAACATGTCACGGCTACAATGGGTACATGTTATGAGATCAAATCCAGTTAATAATATTACAAAGAAAGCGCAGTATAGCGAGATAATTTTATTACAAAAACAACACATTAATTGGCAAATAATTCTCGCGGAAGTGAAGCATTTCTAATTACTGTACATTCTACAGGTAAAGTCAACAGTTTTTAATGAGGAAAATTATCTTATAAACTGTGTCTGAGGAAAGACAGTTTCTCAATTTTAGCATGAGAATTCCATCTCTTGATCACTCTTTTATTGAATTTATTTATTCGAATATCGTTTTGTTATTCGATCGTCGGTCCATTCGACTGATAGTCGAATAGTCGACTATTCGTTGACATCCCTAAAAATTAGTGATTTCAGAATGTAATACCGGTATATATCAAGAATGTACAACTGAAATGTTCTTACAGAGATATATCTGTATATGGAGTTGTATGAAGTAATCCTTCAAGGAATTCAATAAGATGAACTATGAAAAAAATGAGGAAAAGGTGAAATCCAAGGTCATAGCAAGGGATGGTCAGGTCAAAATTATGATACAGATGAGTAGTTTCACAAATATGTATCAGTGTAAGAGTTATGATTAAAAAAAATCTTTGGTTTTTGAAACTAAGCTAAACACAAAATGCAGAAAAGTGAGGTCAAAGTCATATGGGAAGTCAAGGTTAGAAAATTTGCTTTCACCAATATTTATCAGTGCTTAAATTTTGATAAAAAGAATCTTGAACCATTTCACTGAAACTGAGCTAAACACAAAGTGTGATGGATGGATGGACAGCAAGAAGGAATAAAGGAAAGACAAAGAGATGGAAAGAATAAAGGCAGACACGTGGAAAGACAGGGAAGGAAAAACTAAAGACACATATAACAAACATTATATGCCCATAGTTATGGCATAATTTTTTTTTTTTAAATACTTTACCTGCAGCTGGTGACAATGGCATATGCTGAACAGAACTGCTTTCTGAAGATTTGGGAAAACTTTCTCCAAAACCTCCATAGCTGTGAACAGAGAGTCTATTTTCTATCACTGATTTCATTGCAGTCTTACACACATCTGGATAATCCTGAGGAGGAAATAACTTGGGTGGAATTTGTGGTGGTAACTGACTAGAAGGCTGCAGATCACAAGAATGGTTCACAACACTTCCTCCTGATGAAGATGGTGGATGAACAAAAACTTTGGGAGTGTCATCCCAACTATCATCACCTTCCACTTCATCATCATCATCCTCAGACACATAATCTAGAGTACTGTCTGATAACAAACTGTCCCTTCCTTGATGGGCAGCTTGCCAGGCCTGAATTCTCTCATTCACATCCATGGGAGGGACAAACTTTGGATTCATTAAAGCTTCAAATGACACATTATCCCAAGGCTTGCAAAACACAGTGCCAGTGCTGAGGTGAGACTGACGTTTATTGTCTGTAGTTGGATTTTTTAAGTTATCATATTCTGAAGGGCTGCTTAGTTGTTGCAGAGGATTTAGAAACTGCACAGGTCGAACAGTCAGTGTGGGATTAACAGATGATATCATGTCCTCCATCGTAGCTGTACCATCTGTGGCTGATGTTTCACAAGATAAGTTCCTCTTGTACACTGGAAACTTCCTCAGAGTGGAGGTCACTTCACTTTGTTGCTCTTTGGACAGTTCCTCCCAAGAGAATTCTCGACTCTGGTGAATGCGACTAACACTCTTGTTGGTAGACAGGATGTTAGTTTTGCTCCTAGACTGTTTACAAGTATTTTTTTTAATTACTAAATTTTTACTGTCAAGACGCAAGGCACTTATTGAAGGTGGAAGCGAGTCTTTTTCAGATTTTCTACTAGAATTAACTTTGGCACTTTGGGTTCTCCGTAATGCTTTATGGTCAACACGGTTTGGACCATTGTTTGAGTTCTGAGCTTCAAAATTTTCAAAGGTCTGATTTCCATCTTCATCCCCATATCCTGGAGAGAATATTGTCTCCAACTCTGGAGTCTGGGAGACCGCTCTAGCCTTTCGTTTGTGGATTCCCATTGCTGGAGCTGATCTTCGATTAACTTTCTTCAGTTCTGCGTCATTCAATGAGTCAAATGGTTCAGCATAAACCGGGCTTTTAGCAGATGACAAAGCAGTTGATGTTGATGAAGAGTCATCATTGACAGGAAGTGGAGAAGGTTTTGTTTTCATTTTTGGACTAGTCTGAGTTTGTACAGAACTAGTGTTAAACTTCACATCCAAGAGATCAGCATCCACATCTTCACTACGTATGGCATTTTTAATCTTGTAGTCATCCAAACTCAAAGTCCTGTGAATGCTAGATTTAGGTTTTGGAGAAGGGAAAGTGGAGGCATTGAGATCATATTTTAACTCTTTCTCGGGCACTGATTTCGCAGTATGGCTATCACACAAATTTTCTGACTCTACAGCTTCTTTTTCCTTGATTGTTTCCTTCACTGACATCCTTTCTTTCCTCTTTCCTTTCTTACTAGATTTTTTCTTTGGTGTAGGAGGAGCAGGACTAAGCACACTATGTGAAGAAAAGGAATGCCTCCAAATGTCCTCATAATCTGACATTTTGTCCGACAAGTTACTTTTGAAATATTGGTTTTCCTCTGGAATGTTCAGTAAATCTAAAGAGGTTGTGAAATACAGTGAAGTCTGAGAAGGTTGATTAATGGACATGCCACCAGATTCATTGGAGAGAAGACTTTCAGCAGAACTTCCCTCTCCAGAGGGTCTCTTGTGGTCCAATCCTCTTCCCATATTGTCCTCCACACTTGAGGGGGTGTGGTTCAAACTTCCTTTACTGGAAGAAAATTGGCAGGATTTCCCAAGAGTTTCCAGGGTGCTGGAGGAACCCTGCTGATCACATGCCAAGGTAGGTTTTCGCAGAATACAGTGACTGCCATGGATGATGTTTATTGGTTCACTTTTTGATTTGTGAAGGTTTGGTTTGTTTAGGGATAAGTCCATCTGGGAACCTCTGTCAAACTTGTAGGATGTCCAAAAATCTAAAAAAAAAAAAAAAAAAAAAAAAAAAAAAGTATTAAATCATATTGAGATTTAGTTCAAAATAATTTTGTTCGAACTCATAAATTGTGTAAAGGCCAATGTAGAAGAAAAATCCACTGCTTACCTTGGCCTAAATATGACAATGAGGTCAACTCTTGGAGAGTCTTGGCTCTACGGATAGTGGGGGGTAGTAGAAGTGGACAGGGTAGTTCATCAGTCCAGTGGTGGTAATGATCCAGGAGATGGAAAATGGATGCAAAATAGTGCAGTGAGCCTTGGATTCTAAAGCCTTTTTCTGAATGTTGAATGAGATAGTGGTCAACATTGGCCCGGTCTTTTTCAGGGAACTGAGCTGACAGAGCTATAGTATTGCTTTGGCTGGAATTACGGATGATGAAAGTCTAAAAAGTAAAAGGTAAGATACTTCATTATTTTACCAAGTGTTTTAATCAGATCTCAATATCTTCAAGTTTCCTATAAATTGATGTTTCCTGTAAAGTTAACTGAAGTTAACCATCTATTTTCAGTTCTAAAAATATGGATATCAATTTACATGCGTAAGCGCATTATTACACCATTTATTTTTTCCAAAATAAATAATTTATGAATGTATACTGTAATGCTGCATGACTACATCATCTTTTTCAAAACATTTGACAAGGTTTAATACTTTACATAGCCCTATTTTTGCTACTCAACTAGTTTATTTTCACTATTTCCATGCCGGAAAGAAAACCCTAGTTGAAAGCACAACTGTAGCGAAATTAACAATAATCCACTGATGAGACCAAAAAACATACTGTAAATGTATTTAATTTGGCATGTAGGATATTTGTCCTAAATTGATTTTTCAGCTAGTTAGCGTAGATTTGATTTAGCCCTTTCTGAATGTGCTTTATATGAAGATATATTCACAAAGAATTTAGCAATTTACTTGATTTTGAGGAGGGTGCTTTCCGCGAAAGGCGCTAAATAGAATACATAGCCAAATGTAATACATGTACGTTTAAAGTATTTAAAATTGAGCAAAGATGAAATGTGAAAAATAACCATGAAGAAATTCAAAACTGTTCAGTCTAAGGAATCTGGATCCCAAAAATGTAGAAATATCACTTTCAGGACAAATTTTTTGGCAAAGATCATTCACTAATATACATTTGAATTTCTATCTTGCAAAAATAAGGTGTTGCAAAAATTTCACGATCTTCAGTAAATTTGTTTCTGGAATCTGGAGATTTCATTAATCTGGACAATTTTCTTGGAAACGCAAGTGTCCAGATTAATGAGACTTGACTGTACAGTAATAACAACATGATCTAAATGAGGGCTGTACCCCTGGTTCCCTGTCTTTGAGGAGATGAACTGCCCCTGATCTGCCTATATCTGGGAGGTGCCAGATGGGGTGTGTTTTCGTCAGACGTTCATGAAAGGAAAGGTGTCGCTGTTCAAGGTTTGTTTCACTGCATGTTCTAATGGGTAGGCCTACTTCTGATTCATTAATAATGCTGGGAATTTGAAGGCCCTGGAAAGGAAAAAAGATGTTTTTCACTTTTACACATGTAGGTGATCTGGAATACATGTACAACTCTAAGTATATATTCTATATCATTTATGTAAATTTACATGACAATGTGACAGTATACACTCTGCAGTGCCTTGTGGACAATATTGCAAACATGATTCAGAATGAATGTTCTACTTTTCAAAATAAATTTACCAGTAAGTAATGACTTATATAACCCACAATATTCATCTTTCCTGTTCTTGTACTATCAAAGATATTTGATTCTTTATTCATAATGATTGCCCAATTTTTGAATCTAATTATTCTGTTATTTTTTAATTACCTGTTGTGGCTGTAATCCGAAGACGTCAAGATGTCCTGATTTTAAAGATTCATTTTTCTCATTGTGGGAAAAGCTGTCAGTGGACGCTAGGGTCCCAAACGCACTATCCTCTCCCACCATGTGACTGGAATTGCATGACTGCCCAGTTCTTAAATTATCAAAAGTATATATTTTCAAAACTCACAAAGAAAATCTCTTTATATTTTAAAGATTTTCTATTCAATTTTATTGAATCATTTTTTTTGTCCAATCTAGCATATCTTGTAATGTGAAGCCTCAGCCCTGACCATCAATCATGTTTTTTTGTGTGAATGCACGTCTCCTATAACACCTACACAGTACAAGTATTATCTGTCACATAAATTAATGAACAATTCGCCATGTGTTAATTCTTTTTACAACCTCACTTGTATTTTGTTTAACATTCTAATTTATTGATTGTTATTTTAGAAATTAAAAGAACCTGTAAATTTAAAAAAAACAAACAAAAAAACCCCCAAAAAACTGTATCAAAAGTGATTAAAAACTATCTATAGAAAGAAGGTACATTTCCAGTACAAATCTTTAAATATGAATTATGATAAAAAAACCAAAAACAATTCATGCTTTCTGAGTTTTCAAAGTTCATACAGTAAGACATACAAATTGTTCTTCTTATATGACCTCCTAAATGCAAATTGTAACATCATGAAATTGTGCATTTTCCCATATTTTCTTTAAAAGTTGCAAAAGACATCAATTTTCAGTTGAATTTTCTTTCAGACTATATAGACCACATGCATTGCCCACAAAGACCTTAATGAAGTGGGAGATGACCATGCATGGACATTATTTTCTTAAGGAAAAATCACCTCTTAAACAAGCCCTTTTGAGGCATTTTTAAAACTTAGAAATGTAACAAACTAATGACATCATATTTCCAGAATGGTCTGGCTTTATGTGATATTTTTTCCTGATTTATCATATTCATATGTATTCAACTTATATTTATAAGCAAATTTCATGAAGACATCAAATTTTTATTAGGGCACAATAAAGCTAAAACCGTTACCTACTTCTCTCTGCATCTGTGCTTTATAGTCTATACAAGAACCTTGTTTGGTAAGTTAGTTATATATTTTTTGGATCTATGTCAAAATAAATCATTACTAGCAGCTTTTTGCTTTATTCAAACTTAAAAAAAATATTCAGCATGTTCAGAAAAGGGCATTTCTCAATGTCACCTGTTTTATTTTGATGTATACTACAATATGACTAAAAGGAAATTCAAAATAAAAACTAAGAATTTTAAACTTATTTTACTAAAGTTATGATTGATGCTTGTGTTTGAATTTTGTTTTCTTTTTTTTTATGAGATATATGTATGCCCTAAAATTGTAATGCATTTTATGTGTGTACAATACCCCCCCCCCCCCCACCCCCTTTAAAAAATACTCTTTTCCAACCCAAATATTTCCATTAAAATAATTTGCACAATATTGAGACATGTAGACATTGACATCAAATATTTAAATTAATTGAAACACTAGGGTTTAAGGTTACCCTAAAATGTTCATGTGTCACTTTGGAATGTTTGTAGCATATGGGTTTCTTCTTTGTTCAATCTGTTAACTTGTTTATACTGAACCTAGAAAATTTCAATTGTTTACATATATACTTAACCTACTCTCTTGTCAAAACAACAATACAAGTATAGAGATTAAATCAGAGGAGTTTATATCTAACCTCATCAAAGTTAATCCATCACCAACAAAACTAATGGTTCACGTACAAAGTGTATAGACAAAAATTTGGGGAGTGGGATATAGAGGGTGATCACAGGGAATCTGTATTCAATAGGATACAATACTCTAAAACACAAAAAACGATGTCCAAGATTGTTATCATGTGTCACAATTAATCACTGCTCCCCAAGGGCACTGTTCTCATGAACTTAAGTTCCTGGTCTGTCATAGGTTGTCAGTAAAAATAATCACGGGATCACCTATATGTATGGCCAATATTATATACATATATATATTTTATCTACCTGAGAATGATAGCAGAGATAGAATTCATAATGTTATGATTCACTCCAGTTGGGTTTCACGTGTGTTAAGTAAAATTTTTAGGGGCAAAATTAGTCGGTCTGATCTTTACCGGGCCCTAAAATTTTAGAGACAAGTGCTTGAGGAATAACACGTAGAAAAAGAGATATTTGATCAACTATCAATTACCACAGAATTTAAGGTTGATAGGCATTGTCTAACTTAATGTACATGGTTTGGTACATATTATTTTTAAATCAATGCATATATGACTGGTATTTTATTATTTTGTATATTGTTACAAGTTTCTACATAGTATTTATCAATTATTATGACTATTTTGTCTTATAATTAGAAACTTAGCTTGTAAGTACATGTAATATATGATGAATGCACAGATGGTATAAATTATAAATATTCCAGTACATGTATATGCATCAATCATTTTTTTAACCAAACTTACCCATATGCTTTGAAGGTCACTTGATTTTCTTTGGTTGGGTATATTGTGCAAAAGTCATTCAGCAAAAGGTCAAGGTCATTTGCTATGTTGTTTAGCATCTGTAATGAGACAGTAAAGCTATATATCTAAATACCCATATAAACTGAATTGAATCGAATGTCAAACATAGAGATATGATATTTGAGTTTCATCCAGACAACAGGCAACAGACACAAATAACAAGAGGCCCATAGGCCACAACGTTCACCTGAGTAGCTATGGCCCTGCTGTTCTTCACCAGATATTCCCCCTTGTAATACATATTGTGGCCATACCCTATCCAAGGGGCCATGATTTGAACAATTTTGAATCTACATTACCCCAGGAGATTTCCACATAAGTTTCATCTTTTCTGGCCCAGTGGTTTTTGTGAAGATTTTTAAAGATTTTTCCTATATATTTCTGAATCAATGTAAGACTTTGATTCCTTATTGTGGCCCACCCTATCCCCAGGGGCCAATTTAAAATATACACTACCTCAGGAAACTTCCACATAAGTTTCAGCTTTTCTGGCCCTGTGGTTCTTGAGAAGAAGATATTTTAATGACCCCACCTTATTTTTTCTTGATTATCTCCCCTTGGAACAGGGCTTGGGCCTTCATTTTTACAATTAAAACTCTTCTTTACCCAAGAATGCTTCGAGCCAACTTTGGTTAAAATTGGCCCAGTGGTTCTTGAGAAGAAGTTGAAAATGTGAAAAGTTTACAGATGGGGCAGATGGACGGTTGACGGACAACGGGTGATCAGAAAAGCTCACTCGAGCTTTCAGCTCAGGTGAGCTATAAAAAAAAATACTTACTTGTCTCCTTCAACATTTATTTCAATACAGGTATATCATATTCAACTATGAAAGAATTCTATACAGAATGTAGTTTCCTCACAACACCCAATAAAAGTCAGTGTTGAGGCATTGTTTAAAAAATTGTTTGTTTGCCCTCACCTGACCGACTGGCTAAAGATGACCCAACTCAAAACTTTTTTTTAAGCCCCAGGATATGATTTTCAATTTTGTTTTAATGTTTTGTTTTTGAAAATTCAGCACTGATATATAAAAAATTAGGAAATAAATTTTCCCACCTACCTATTGACCGAATATTTTTACTCTTGAGTCGGGGCAAACAAACATTATTTTCAAGACGGCCTGAGTAAGTCAAGTTAAACAGTGCAACAGTAAGAATGAAAAATATCATTTCTCAGAAAAGGTATTTTAATATTTCTTTTATCTGTGATTTTCTTCCCAACCCCCCCAACCCCCCTACAAAGTTTACAAGTTTAATAAACAGTTTCATCTGAAAGTTTAGTTTTCTTAATGTTAAGAGCATAAGGATCAAGTCAACAAATATTTAAAAACCTAAATGTTATACATGTACCAATAAATAATTTAAAAAGTCCCAGTAATATAATAAAATTAGAAATAGCAAAGCAGTTTAAATTAATATATATACATATGTATAATTATATACCGGTATATTAAAACTCTGGGTTACTTTAATTTTTAAAAAGTGAATTAAATAACAATAGCCATTTTCAAACTGTTTAGTATCAACAAGAAAGAATGTGATTTTAATACAGAACAAAAATCAAAGTTAAAATATGAAAGATTTTAAATTCTAAATGGTCAGAAATCTTTAAAGCCTGAGAAAATAAGCACCGCCCTCAAATTTACCTGGTTTCTGATCCCAAATCAATCAAGCAAATTAATAGAATCTAGGATTGGATGCTAGAAATTGAATGGCATTTAGTTATTTGTCCCTGTGTATACTTTGTACACCTTTTCCATGTGACTATGTCAAATTAACTTTTGGTTTGTTTGGGTTTTTTTGTTTTTGCTTACCACATGTGTATATACCAGTGTAATAACAATTATTCATGGAATTCATTTATTGGTAAGAAAATTTTTAGCAATACATAAATAAGTAGAGGTATATTAAATTGTTTTGTCCTACAATTAAATTGATTATATTTATCTAGGCATGGGAAATATTTTCAAAGTAAATCAATATTAAAATATCAGATTTGTTGCACATACATAAATTTTATGCTCAACAAAGTCTTGATCCTTATTGGAACATCAAATAATTATAACTATACATTATAGTGTGTTTTTTTAAAATCTTTTTAAACTATGAGTACACAGTGAAATTTTGTTTTCACTTGATTGAAAATTTATAAGCATCGTTCTTTTTCAAGACATGGTGACACAAAAGTTACGGTAAACCTATGTATAGAATCTAATAAGATAATCTATGTATAAGGATGTGGGATTAAGATCCCAAGGAAGAAGTGAATGTCTAGATCAGTAATTGTGGTTTTTCTACACTGCGATTTTCACTGTATGTTCCACCTTGTGAATTTTCATACAGATAGAGGCTTTCTAAAACTTTGATATTGATTAATCATGTTGATATTTAAGTGAGAAATATATAATACTTCTGATTAAGGTACAACTATTTAAACATTTTTTTCTTTTAAAATTTATATAAATTTACAAAATTAAAATAAAATGTACAATGATCCCCCCTCCCATTACTATGCATTACAAGACTGCCTGATCACAGCTCATTAATATACAAAGATTGATGTATTATATTTATAGAGGTCTTTATTCATTTAATTTGAAGAACTTAAATTATAAAACATAACAAATGTAAGTTATAATGATGAATTATTATTTTCTCTAGATAAGCTAGATCATGATTACAAATTTCATACGTAGGTATGAAAACCCTCACAGGTAATACTCAAGGACTTCCTGTTTGTGTGTCTATAGGGATTAGCGCTCTGCATGAATTGCAAAACGCATCTCCCCTTACATCAGAAAACTGTATGGTTAAAAATCTCTGCCTTTATACAAGTTAAAATAATATGCCCCCGTCCCCTCCCCAATAGATTAGTTAACCCTCCCTTATACCACATTCAACATCCAACTTTTCTGATAAGTGAATATTTAATATTTATATACTGTATGTGTACTTAAAAAAAGCAGGTTTTATATTTTAGCCACTTTGGCATGGACAACAATGCACTAATTTATAAATTCCATCAATAAATCATCATTAAAACCAGAAGTCTCTGATGAAACTGTAGCTCTACTGGTTTGTACTTATAACAACGGAGGAGAAAAGTAACACTTGAACTATGCAACAGCAATGAATAGAATTATGATCCTTGGTTTAGTCTCAAAATCAAAAACTGATACACTGAATTATCTATCTAAGTGTAGTCTACTTGTGTGCCAAGTTATATTGAAATCAGACAAAAACTATAGGATGAGTAGCATTTTGAAACTATTTCACAGAAATTTTTAATTCTAGTAACCATGGCAACAAAATCTAAAACTGATATATAGAGTTATGTATATATTAGAATTATGTATCTAAGTGTAGTCTACTTGTGTGCCAAGTTATACTGAAATCAGACAAAAACTGTAGGAGTAGCATTTTGAAAGTACTTCACAAAAATTTCTATTTTTAGTAACCATGGCAATATTGTCCATCAAAATTAAAAAAAAAAGGATACAAAAAATTATGTATCTTAATGAAGTCTACTTCTGTGCCAAATTATATTGCAATTAGACCATAATTATAGGAGGAGTAGCATTTTGAAAGTATCTCATAGAAATTTCCATTTTTAGTAACCATGGCAACATGTTCACCAAAATCAAACACCCATACATAGAATAATGTATCTTAGCATAGTTTTCTTGTGTGCTAAGTATATTGAAATCAGATCAAAACTGTAGGAGAAGTAGCATTTCAAAACAATTTCACAGAAATTTCTATTTTAAGTATCCAAGGCAACACTGTTCATCAAAATTAAATTGTGCATCTTAGTGTAGTCTACTGGTGTGCTAAGTAATATTGAAATCAGACCAAAACTGTAGGAGGAGTAGCATTTTGAAAGTATTTCACAAAAAAAATTTTATTTTTAGTGACCATGGCAACACTGTTCATCGAAATCAAAAACCAACATACAGAATTATGTATCTTAGTGTATCTTAGTGTAGTCTACTTGTGTGCCAAGTTATATTGGTATAAAACCAAAACTGTAGGAGGGAAAGCATTTTGAAAAATTGTGTCAGACAGAAAGACAGACAGATGACAGACACCTTACTAACACATAAGCTCTTCTGGTCTCTGACTAGCAGAGCTTAAAATTACTAATAATATATAATATTTCCCAAGATGCTCAGCTAATTTGTAAATCAGACATGATGTCTTTTGAGGGCCTAGTCTACCCTTCTCTTGATGAAAAGAATATTGTACAAAATAATAACTGCTGTCTAAATCATAAGAAGAAATTGGAATAAGAATTTTATTGGCCTGGAAATAAAGTGTTAATATTTTGTTACACCTACAGTTTTTATATATAAAAAGTAAACTAGGTTGCATGATTGGTACTGAAATAACATGGGTAAATAAGTGTCTATTGGGGCAAACTTTTTTTTTAAAGGGAAAGGGGTTGGGGGTTGGGGGTGTCTTGTGTCAACGACTACAAATGCTTCTTGTTCTTTGGCATTTCAAATATTTAAATTGTATCAAAATAGACCTAGCATGTCAATTATGTATAATTTGTAAGATACTTCAACATATACATTGTGATCCTAAGAAATCTGCCTCTTTGATAAATAATACGTAAATTCTCAAAAGTGCATTGAACGCAAACTTATAGTGGGCAAGCAAAATAAAGTGGTCTTACCAATACAAATTCCAGTCTATGCAAATTATGCTTTGGAAGAAAATAGAAAGGAAAATAACAACAGCTCTGAGAAAAACTAGAAATATTTCCATAGGACATGAATGCCCCAACCAGGGTTCATCAGTAATGTAACATGAAAATTTGTATTAGTGTATGAAGCTTGATGAAAATATTTTGAAAAGTTTCTTAACTGAGTTTTATACACAATAAATAGTAAAGTCAAAGGTCATTGGGAAGTTAAGGTCACGTAAAAAAAAATTGGTCAAAGTTGAATTCTCACCAACATAGTGTGTATTAATGCATAAACTTACATAAAAAATATCTTGAATAGTTTCCTTGAAATTGAGTTTAATTCTAATTTAAGAAAAGTGGGGTCAAGGTCCAAGAAAAGGTCAAGATCAAAATTTTTTTGATGCAGTTCAGTAAGTTTGATAAAAACATCTTGATTTCTTTCTTAAAACTGAGCTAAACATAAATTCTAGAAAAGGTCAGGGTAAAAAATATTGATGCAATTGAATAGCTTTCATTAACATGCATAAGCAAAAGGAGCTTGATAAAAATACAGTCAAACCTCCTTATCTCAAACTTGATTGGACTAAGAAAAAAGTTCAAGATATCTGTGGAAGGTCAAAAAATGTTGATGCAGTTGAATAGCTCTCATTAATATGTAGCAGCATATGAAGTTTGATAAAAATATCTTGAATAGTTTCTTTGAAACTGAGTTAAACACAGTGTGACAGAAGAAAGGACAGAAAGACGGAAGACAGACATGACAAACACTATTTCCCCTGGCCATATTTATGGCGGAGCACCAAAAATAATGATTCTCCTAAATTTAACAAATATTTCTATGAAAAAAAGCTGTTGTTGTTAATATGCTTGGTGAATTTAATTCCAAATGTTCGTAAGATTTAGAATATGAAAAGTACACCGTATATCCTTTTACACATCCTCGACACCACTACTTTTTCTATATAGCTTTTCACCGACAAAGGTACAAATTTAACTGAGAAGCTGTAAGACAACACCACACCAGATGGCTGATAGGGAACCCAACCATTTCCATCCAATTAAATTTGACTCCTGTTAAGTGGTTTTCTACTTTACCTTTTGGTATGCTGACTTTTGCTGATCCTCCATCATGACTGTCTCCTTATTCTGCAGCATTCTTCTTATCTAATGATGACTGTCTGTCTGTTGGTATGATGTCCATTACCTGGTATTCCGAATAAAGAATAACTATTACAGTTTTTCAATTGACACTACTTCAGCTAAGTAAATCGACCAGTAAATTACATGTACACTCTAATATCCAATTTATTTAATTTGCAATATAAGTGGACAACTTATGAAAAAAGCTTATGTACTGTTTCTATTGTAAATTCCTATACTTTTAGTCTGTTACTAGAGTCAAGAACCAATTAAATTACTAGCAGCACTTGTTCTTTGAGTAATCAACAGACAAATTTACATCATCAGTTTGAATTTTACGGCACATTTAAATGATCATCATAATTTGACACTCAACCTATTTCAACAGTGACCAATTGAAAACATTTTTTTTACGTAGATTTAAAAATTTCCAGACAGACTTGTTGACCTTGCCTTACTTACATCAAACTCCTTTAAATCCTATGTTGAAAAACAAAATATTGACACACAAAATTTTACTCTATGAACCTTTGTGTTGTTGGATTGAAACACACAGTGAAAAACTCTAAGATACAGGAAAAGATTTGCCATGGTGTCGATTTACCGACTTTTTTCCTGTATTAAAGAAGCACAGTAACTGTTAGGTGCTAAGGTAGTCCCTCTCACCTTTGTTAAGTGTACAGGTATTTACTTAAGTTATTTAGGGTGTCTTTGTCCGATACTCAGAGCACAAGACAGGAAAAAATTAAACTGCATTTCATTGGTGTAAACCTGTTAAAAATTCCTCACCAGGATATCTACGACAGACATTAATAAAACAAATTTCCACTGAACAAGACATTAAATATTTGACTTACGATATAATTTGTCCCAGTCTTGAATTGAACAAACACAAAGAAACATGTAATGATAATCCATGTCTTAGTGATAAACTTCAATCCTGCCACTCCAGTATTTTTACAAGATAATATACATGTGCATGACCCAACAATCCCTTATTGCAACCTAACATTTGAGAGACCAATCCTAGTAATTACTGCACTGGTACACTTCAATAATCACTGATTACCTCCACAGGTAAACTTCAATAAAAGCCCAAACTTATGTAAGAATTCACGGCAGCCCAAAGGTAGATTTTTGTCGGTGTCTTCCTTTTTTTCCTGGCCCTGTTGTTAAACAGACAGAGAAACGACTGAGTCCAACCGTGACTACCTTAATAATACCTGTGACCTCAGTCAGATCAAATTTTAAAAAGCCCATTCATAAATAATATTTAAATGTTATTCATTACACACTTAGCTGTCATCAGCTGACTGACTTGGGGCTCCGTTTGTTCCGATAAACAATTATCCAACAAAGGGACAGCTGCAATACACAAACAGACTGGCATTGCGGATAAAAACTTGGGTGTCAGACACCAACCTATCAAACACTGACTTCAGATTCCTATTATCAGTTTAACAGATTTAAGTACACAGGAGATTGACCATATAGAATATGTCCAGTAAACTTAGATCACTAGACATACATGTAGCATTTACCCCTAAACAATAATCACTAATTCAAATCATTTATGTGCATTTAATCAAAAACAAAACATATTTTTACTGACATTCGCAATGCCTGAGACAAATTAACCCAATAGTTTTACAATATGACAATTCTTTTCAAAAATTGTTAACTTTTGAATTTCATTTATATTTCATAAATCAGCATCCTTTATACCATAATCTGGCATATCAGTACTTAAGTTACAACCAAGCTAAGTCTAACTGGTTATGTTTTGAATCTATAACCTTGCAAAAGGCTGTAAGGAATTCTACGTTTTGGCCATGTCAGTTCCAGGTGTGCAATCCGAAAGGTATATATACCCAGTGCTGATAAATTGGGGATAGGTAAGCTAATATGGCATATGGCTTTTTGTGAGTCATATTAAGCTTTAAGAAATGCCACTTATTTTGCATCCTCAAAACATCAGGGTTCCTGAGTCAACACTTTGCCATTGGACCCCTAATAAAGTTCATTCAATATTTCACAGGCTGCATGACTGTAGAGAGGTCTTTGGTAGAAAATTGCAAATCTTTATTGTTTTTCTTATCTCTCAGCCAATCAAATTAAGCATTTCGGTAATAAACAACTTGTAACACATGCATTTAAGGTGTCAATAATTTCGTTTCTGTTTACATCTCTACTTATGATAGCTTCAATTTAATTGGTACTTCTCAATGAGAGAAGCATTTTAAACTTTAAAAAAAAAACCAAATGATCTTTGTCAGGGATCCAACAGCAACTAGTGTTGACTCAGGACCCCTGACAATGTGAGGATGCTTATTTTGCATCTTCTCTCTATTTTTCTTTATTTAAAGATTACAGGAGAAAATCCTAAATTTTATTATCCTTTAACTTAACACATAGTTAGTTTAAATATAGGTCGTCTCCATTTTGGATTCTAATGATAATTAATCTTCCGTCAAAGATACACTTCACGATTAGAGAGACTTTTATGACAATTAAAGTAAAATTTAATCCATTATCCTCACATAATTTAAAGTTAACAATAAGTGTAAGTGAAAAATGAATAAATTTATATGATTTATGGGAAAAAATTCAATCAACAATTATCAATAGCTTTGATGAATTTAACTGATAGAGCGATAAATATATTCAAACAAGGATTTGTGGATAATGTTTCAGAATTACTTAACCCTGATTTGTGTCAAACACTGTATAACAAAACCTTTCCCATGACCCATGTTTACAGGGTATTTAATGGTTTTATGTTTCAGAAATTATTGCATCTAATAAACCCTGCATGTTCATTAACATGGAGAAAGAAGTCTGCATGTTAATTATAAATGATCAGTCAGTGTAACGCGAGAGGAGATTGTCCAAGTCTGTCAGTTTTCTGGGGATATGAAATGTGACACATGATCTGCTATGGTAATGCTGAATTTAATCACTTTATTAATACCTGTCAGATAGCAACGTTTTAATGGGTTTAAAATGATTTAAATGTCTTGCAAATGAAAAGCTTGCTTTGTATAATTTTTATACTCTATACATACCTTTACACTATGAAAATTTCCTTATCAGTAATGAACTAGCCCAAGTTCTTCACATATAAAGTTGTGTCCCTTTAGGTATAAAAATATGTTGCAACACAAAAGTCCAGACGACATAAATCATTTATATTTACAAATTCCTTTGTTTACAGAATTTCTCTATACTGGTAAAATAATCTAGTCTCATGTTTGTGGCCACACACTCTAAGACATCTCTCTAAATGCACCTAAAATTAGCAGACAGACAAACAGACCATGAAAGCACTTTTATATGGCAACCAGTATCATGAAAAAAAAAAAACAGCCCCAATCATACAAATTTAGCACAAATGTACCAAAAAACATTCTTCATTATATCAGACACTGATAACGGAATTTAGAAAATAATATAACAATACTTCTTCATGCAGCTCTTCCTTTTGTACATGCAACTATTATAATAAATAACCCAATCTGATTGTCTTAACAGTACAGAATCCTCTGCCAACCCTCTTGTTTACGGTAACTAGTCAAGGGTGTAATGGGGGGTTTGGCACAATAATCAAAAAGCTAATGAGAAAAAGATCCACTATTTACATAAAACGTTTTAATGTTACTAGCATCCTCTGCAGAATGTTTTATTTCTTAATAAACCACAGAGACACTTTACAAATGAACCAACTTCCCTGAGTTGATGGTTATCAACTGTTAAATTGGTAGCTGGTAACAGGTTGAAAGAAAACCAAATGTTTCAGTAGACTTCAAGTTAATTTATCATCTCCAGTAAAATCTGTCCTCAATGTGCACTCCCTCAAATCAAAGACAATATCATAAACCACAAGTTTTAATAGAAAATCCAAGTTGCATTTTAGTCACAATATAAAAACAAGGAGCTTTAAATATCGTTCTCGCATAAGAACACCTTAAAATGGAGAATGAATTCAAAGGTATCAATATGATCATGTCTAGGGGTGATAACAAGGCTAACCACAGACCACAGATTTAAGCCCACTTTACAAGAAGAATTTTACCTGAAACTAGCCACTCCCCACATGCAAAGAATTAAGGAGACATTTTTTTCAGAGAAATCATTTCTTCTAAAATCCATTTATTTGTATAATGTAAAGACTCTGTTCAATCTGCACATAAGTGATCACAAATTGAATATGATTATGAATTAATTGACAATTCCTTTTTGAAACCTGGGTGTAGAATACAAGATACTATTTATATAAACTTCAAAGTAATCTTTAACCAAACCTGCAGTAAGATTAAATATATGGTAACGAACAGTATTCAAGCTCAAAAGTCTATTGAAGAATACAAATTTTGGAGCAGAGCAAACATGGACCTCTAAAACATCAGAGGTGCGATCAGGTGCCATGGAGGAGTAAGCATCCCCTGCCGACCGGTCACATCCACTGTGTGCTCCTTGTCATGATCGGGATATAATGGAAAGTGTGGAAACAGGAATAGACATTAACTTTCAGATTGACTTGCCCTTCAGGCAAGTGATCTCAAACTTTGACTTGTCCGAATGAAAAACTTGGTTGCCCAAAATAAGGAAAGAACTTAAGAAGAAAATTTCGGTAGGATTCTTTTGTGAATCGTGATTTTCAGAGATAAATGTGAAGCAACGCTAAAGGAAGATAATTATTAGTTGCTACGAAACATACATCTTTATCGTGATCAGGAGACATCCTGTTACACTGCACTTACACTCTGTGAGTGAATAAATATTACAATTTCCTAATAAGAAGTTAACAAAGATGTTAGGTGTAGAGTGTATATTTACCACGACAGAAAACAGAATAATGAACCCACTTTTCAAATGAACGGTATAATCTAGAAACGCTTACTCCAAATGCAAAAACAATGTCAGTCAGGTACATGGAGGAAATCAATGTACCAAGTGTTCAATTTATTGTTTTATTTATAAATTAATGTAATCTAAATAAATATGTACATTTCTATGAGAAAAATTCATTTCCTCGATCAGACAAGTACGTCGACAC